AAGGGAAAGAGGCAGCTCAACAGGACTAGCACACAACATAAGGTGCACTACAAGCTTCGGGAGGATTCAGTTGGATCCCATATAGGGTTTGAGATACCTGCGTGAGAACGAGTGAGGTGTTTTGCTGTGACTTTCTCCTGAAGTTTCTCCTTCACGTATGCTGTGCAGCTCCAGCAGAGGCTTCTGCAGGGACCTGGCTGTAAGCAACTCTGTGAAGTTACTTTTTTTGGCTAAAATCCTTTGTTGAAGTTAAGTGGTACAAGGCTTGTCGGATGTTTTTTGGGACAAGGTCTCGCTTGTGCCAGCTGTCCTCAGCTCTCTCCTCAGAGCAAAGACACTATTTTTAATGCTCAGCATCTGTGTTGGTGCTGGGAGATAACTGGCATCTGTGAAGCTCAGAACCTCTTCTCCTGTGACTGTTTAATTGCTTGTGGGATTTCAGGGGCTCTGAAGGCAATGACACCTTTCTAAATGCTCCCTGGGAGGAACCTGCCTCGTTGTTTGCACACTCCTTACCTCCCACCATCAGCATCAAACTGCTGCTTTGGGCTTGAGGTTCTACACTTGCTTTTGGTGTTGCCAGCAAGGCCTGGAGCTGAGACGTGAGATGACAAAGAGACGTGAGAAGCTCCGTGGTGGCACTGGGGCTTTTTTCCATGCGATTTCCATCTTTCTCTTAACTTTGAGGTCATTGGGCTGACTGGGTGAAGGCAGTTCTTGATAGAAGGTGTCTCAGTGCACGTCAGGTGGTTCTTACTTACCTCCTGCATGGGAAAGCTGAAAGGAGCATAGGATCCATGCCAGCCCTGCTGAGGGCTGAGAGCAGGCAGAGCAGAGCCCAAGTGGAAACTGGACAGGGATCTTCCACTGTGTGCTGGTGTAGGTGGAAGCAAGGATATATGCTTCTTGATGATGCAGCTGGACTCTGAGATCAAACTGCGTTGGATATATGCTTGTGTAGCAAAAAGATAGGTGGTGCTGTGTTGGTTTTCTGCCCTTTGGGGTGTAGGCTTTAATTCCACTTTATGGAGAGAAAAGTAATGAATACCTGCAGCTGCAGTCCTGCTCCCCCTGACTGCATGGCATGTCTGCTGAGACCAGAACCAGTGGGTAAGTGATCAGATCTTAAACCTTAGGAATCTGTATATTTGTACGCTGTGATTTATTTCCTTTTTTTTTTCTTGAGAAATGGCCTTACCTGCATGGGTTGTTCATCCTTCTGTGTTGTTCAGGTTTGTGCTGTACCAAAGAAGCTCCGTGATCGTGGTTCAGCTTATCAGGGAGCTCTGTAAGCTGGATTGCATTGATGTCCTTATGCTGTGTGTTGGGAGCATGGCTCACCTGGTATTCTGCATCTCAGCAAGGGGGTGGTGGACAGGGGGGGTGTAGGTGTGTCTGCAGCATTGTCCTGGTGGGATGCAATAGAGCTTTGGGGGCATTTGGGGAGTGCCAAAGCTCTGTTCCTGTTCCTCAGCAGCTGGTGCTGAAGCTCCTGGTGAGTGGATGGGCAGCACTATTGCTGCTGTGGGAGGTGAGGGCAGAGATGTGCAGGAGAGCAGGTCAGGGAGCTTCCAGGCAGGGAAAGATTGAACTCACAGCAGTTAAACAAGGAGAGCCTGTTCCGTTTGCATTACAGCAGTATCCTTTCAGAGCCTCTTGCTGAGCTGAGGAGGAGCTGCGTGGCTCTGCCCTCACTCCGTTAGGCAGCCTTCATTTTGTAGCATAAAATTGCAGCGGTGTGCCATGTGGTGCTGCACTCAGCTCCAGCACAGCGATTTGCTCTGCTGCTGGAGGGAGAGTGCTGCTGAAGCTGAGGGCATGGGAGCTGATGGCTTCTAACAGCAGCTTGGAGCCCAAAGCTGGGACTTGCACGCACATCACTCCTGCTGCAGCGACCAGCAGTGCTGTCTCCTGTCTGTGGCTGAGCCTCCTGCTTAATGTGAAGTACACTGATTCGGGGAGAGCTGGAATTAGTTCCATCACAGCCGATTTAGGGTTCTTTACCTACTTTTGAAAAGATACAACTGCAAGAATAAAAGAATTTCGCATACGAGTCATTTTTGTTTCAAGAAACAGCCCTGCTCCTCTGCTGATAAGGATACTTAGCAAGTAAGTAGCGTTTTTAATCTTCAAAGCGTTTCCTGGTGTTGATGTGGCAGTGCCTCTGGAGTTGTGCCTTGGCAAGGTGACAACCTTTCCCTGTAGGTGACTCCAGGTGACGCCTGCATCCCTGCTGCTGGGCCCTGAGCTTGGTTTGCTGTTGCTGTGGTCTTGCCTTCTCCATTTGACTCATTCTGAGCTGTATGGGTGGTGGGAAAACCCGTGACATTCCTCAGTGTAATTACAGACTGAGGTGTCTATTTAGACAGATTATTCTCACTGCAAACTATAATGCATGGGTTATTCTGAATGTGTAAAATGGAACGCTTGGAAACCGGGTGGCATTTTATATATTTTTCTATTGAGAGACTCAGGCTTGATTTGTTTCCTCAGATGTGTGAAGTGATGGGTAACCTAGCAGCTTTAGAGTTAATTTGGGTGTAAATGCTGTAAGCTGTGAGGGTTTTGCAGGAAAGCAATGCAGCCAGAAAGTGCTAGATTCACAGTGAAGTGGTTGTCAGCAGCTGTGCTGTTACAGGCATAGGACCTGAGCAGCACAGATCAGAAGCATCTTTGTGTTTTCCTTATCCAGCTTCACTCCTCAGCTGCCCTGAACCAGCATCTGCCTTCCTTGCTGCTCACAGGGAGCTCTGCTGCTGCTGCACTGACTGTGCTGCCCTCCTGGCTGCTCCCCTAAAATCTGCCTTTTCAGAATGAGAGGTGAGTGTGCAGGAAGTTTTCAGGGTTGATCAGATTTCCAGCAGGGCCCTACATGCAGTCATTTTTTTGGCTTTGCTCTTCGGACTGCTGTTGAAGATGGAAGTTGTTTTTCCCTGGAAGGTAGGATGCACATCCCATCCAAGTGAAGAGTTCTCATGGCTGTTGCAAGAAATATTCATGCTTCTGTTCAGCATTTGAGTCCAAGTTCCTTGAAACACTGCTAGAATTGAGACAAAATAGCCACATTTTCTAAATTTAGAGTTACTACATGGTTGTGTAACTGGCTTTAAATGAAGCAGCTCTTCAAATTGATTGTTCTGTCCTTAAGTCAAGCAGCTTCTGTCAGAAGCCTTCCTGTCCTCGTGCCCCAGGAAGCCTGCAGGGACCTGGCTGTGGAAATTCCCATGCAGAAGTACCATCTTCTCTTAGTGAATGATCCGCTGAGTTCAGATGAAAGCAGAAGAAATGCAGGGCTGGAGGGAGGGGAGGAATCTGTCCTTCTTGGAAAACTTTTGGGTTTGTTGTTTTTGAAGTCTGCAGATGTGGATGATTCATTTGCTTCCTGTCAGAGCAGGCCGAGCTGCATTCTGGTGTCCCAGAGCTTGGGAAGCTCTTCTTAACGAGGTGTGGTGGTATTGAATGTTTCCTCCTTGAGGTGTACTTAATGCATGTGGAAGTGATGAACATAAAACCCGGGTTATTCCCACCATGGAAGCTTTCTGAACTGCAGCAGGATGAACCAGGCTGCTTCCCAGACTGTGCACAGACTGCATGTTCCTGAAATATAAGAGAGGAGAGCACCTTGCAGGGTTACCCAGCAGTAAAAGTGATGCCCTGCAGGAAATACCAGCACCTGGTACCTGGGTTCCTGGATTTACAAAGTAAAGGATCCTAAAGTTTCTGTTGAATGCAGCAGCTGATGCTTTTATCCCAGTGTTACCAGCTGCCAGAGCTCTCACTGTGCAAGTTTGACAGTAAGATTCAGGCTGTGTTGCTGAGTCAGTCACTGCCTCATCCCCCAGCACCTGGGGCTGTGCTGGCCTTTGCCCCCCTTACTGTGGGGCTGCAAGCTTCCTCTGTTCAGTTCTGTGTGCTGCTGGGCGTTGTGCTGCTACGTGAGCTGTCTCATTTGGTTCTCTTGAGCAGGGCTGTCTCTGCTGCCCTGGTCAGCCCAAGGACCTGGTTGGATGGCATTAATGCTCCTCACCTGGGGCTGCTTTGATCCGAGCGTCAGATGAAAACTTAACGCTTTCCATTACGAGCACTGTGTATTTCACAAGAGTATTGTGCCATCAGCTCTCATGTTTCCTGTTTTGGTAGGCATCTTAGAGAAAGGTTAATAATTTATAGGAGGTAAGCATCACAAGTATTGTTAATTGATGCGGTCGCTGTAACACGTATATAAAACCATTAATTGGAGGAATCTTTTTTTTTCCTCCCCCTTTCTCCCCAGTGTTGACACTTGGAGATCTGGAACAAACCCAGGCTAGGTTCCTGGCTTCCTTACTCATGTTGTGCCTGTGCTTTTTCTATTATCAGTAACACGATTCAGTACCAGGCTGTCATCTGTCGGCACTGATTACCATTTGGAATCCATTTGCTCTTGTGCAATGATTAAAATAATCGAGAGTTGAGTTACATCTTACAGTGACTGTGGCACGAGTGTCAGCGTTGCACTAATGCTGTGTATTCTCCTCTTTAATTGCCATTCAGGTGGAAACACACTGTGTATTCACACCTAATGTCATCTCTCCCACGGTGCTGCTTCAGCTCCTTTTGTTTTTGCCCCACGCAGTTTTTCTTTTCAGATTACAGCCGCCTTTCTGATTAGCACATGTACAGCCCTGCAGGTTTGTAGGGAAAATACTCTTATCTGAGAGCTCCCAGCGCTGCCATACTTGCTGCAGAGTGAATGCTCACTGCAAAAACAGGTGGGTTTTTTTTTCTCAGTGTGATTGGAAACTGCTGGAGAGCCTTGTGTCGGGTTTGACAAGGTGTATTTAACCTCCTTGGCCATAACCTATGGATGAGCTGCTCCACCCAACCTGCCTCTGCAGTTCCAGCTGTGTGCTTCGCTGCCTGCAGTGACTGACATGAGCCTGAACTTTCTCTCGTGGTGGTTTAATTTGAGTTTATCTTAATCTCCTCTAATCTGGCACTGAGAAGTGTTTGCTGTCAGAGGAATCCTCGAGGGAATGAAATGATGGCCTGGAGAGGTGGCAGGTTCTGCTCTGCTGCTGCTGCTTAGCATTGCTCTCACACAGCTAAGGGTAAGTGTGGGGTGGGGGGCAGCAAACAGTGGGCAGAGCTCTTTTTGGAACTGGGATCTTTGTGCTAGGAGGCTTTTTGTGAAGGCATTTGTGAAGTCTTTGAAGCCTGCTGTGCAGCTCAACATCTGCATCTGCTTGGTGCTGTGGATGCGATGATGACAGCAAAGCGAGAGTCCATCCCACTTGTTTTGGAGAGCAGTCAAAGGAATCCTTGCACAGTGCAGTTTGTTCCCAGTTGTGTTGCTAACTTAGCTCCTTTCCAGTTCAGCACGGGGTGACTGCCTGTGGTCTGTACTGCTGGCCCTGCTTAAATGAAGGCTTGGAACAAAAGATCAAGTAGGCACAGAGTGATGTCTGCAGCATCACTGTCCAACCTGTACCTGCTATTGAACATGGTAGGAAGGGTTCTTGGATGGTGACTCAACTGGTTCCTGCTATGCTGTAACACCAGGTTTGTTGCTGCTACTGCAGACTGGGGGCTGACACTGAGCTCTGTTTTTAGGTCTTCCCACTAGTGAACAGCACTGGTATGTGAGCTAGAAGGGGGCTGGAAGTGCAGTAGTTGGGGTTATCTGCACTCTGAAGAGTAAAACAAAGGATGTTTGTTGTGTTCCCGTGTGAAAATAAGGCCCTGCTAGGAGCACCACAAGGTTAGTGGTGTGTGTGTGTAGCTGGTGCTGCTGCTTCTGGCTTCACCTCATTTAAACATTGCCTTGGAGTTTATTTTAGGCTTGCAAGAATAGGAGGCGCTTGTCATGGTCAGCTAGGCTGTGATTTAGCAAAGTGGCAAATCTGCTTTAGAGACTGGGAAAAGGAAGAGGTTTTAATCACAAGTGACAACATGCAGTCTGTGACTGGAACCCAGGCCCTGAGCAATGGTGAAACCCCTCTGCTGACACCTGCATGGCTGCAAGAAGCTGTTACTGCAGGGGCTTCTTGGTGCTCAGTTCCAGCAGTTGTTGAGATGTCACACGGACCTATGGACTGTTTTCCTCCCACCCACATCAGCAACTTGTTTTTAGGAGGATGTACTCTTTCGTTTCCCTGCTTTTGTGCACATTAGTGCTTTGTTAGGTGAGCTAGGAAGGGGCTGGTAACAAATCTCTCAATACTCAAAGCCCGTGGTGCTTTTGAAGGTGCTCCCAAGTCGTGCTCTGCCTGTGCCTATCAAGGAGGAGCAGTGCTGACTCCTGCATGGTGCTGTAGCTGTGACACTGCAATCACACCAAGGTTCTGGAACGTGGCCAGGGCAGGAGATGCAGGCACCAATGGACAACGTGTGCCACACCACCATATAATGACCATCTTTGTGCTTCCATCTCAGCCTCGCTTGTTGAGTGACCTGAAAGCTAGGAGGAACTCCATTTTGGGGTCTGAAACAGCATGTATGTGCTTTCCCTGAAGGACATAGATCTGGTAAGGATTCAGCTGCATGCTCCGTTTGAGGGCTGCAGATGTCAGTTTCCTTAAAATCTCACCCAGGAAAGCAATGTTTACCATTCTCTCATGGGCTGGAAGTGCAGTTTTCAGAATGGAGAACTGTATGGCTGTCTGCTGTTCCATCCATAGGCTGCTGGTTATTGCAGCACTGCAATAGAGACATCTGTCAGCACAACCCGTGCAGAGGTGGGTCCTGAAAAACTGCCTTATCTTATCTGAAGGTGTGAACATAGCAGTGAAGAGATGAGATCAGTTTACAGCAGATGTATTCAGCAGCCCTTAGGGCTGTCACAAGGCTGTCTGCACCGATTCTGGGTGACAGAGCTGAACCCTCAGTTTGGCCACTGCTGGGCAGCAGATGCTCTCTGCACGAGGGGACCTCAGCTGAGGGCTCTTTCCTTGGGAGCCCACCTTGTCCCTAACAACTACTGTGTAAAAGAGCCGTGCTCCTTTCTCCCTGCCTTTTTTTGCTCCTCTCAGTGTGCAGCCCTAATTACAGCCCTGGCAGCTTAGGGTTGGAGCTGCTGTCCTGTCCCAAAGCCTCCTAGTTTTGCCTTTCTCAAGTCTGATTGCAGCTTCACCTTGCACAACAAAGTGGCTGGCCAGGCTCCTCAGGCTCTGTGCATCACTGCCAGTGGGCTGTGGTTAGGCTGCAGCTTTGTGCCTGCCCTGATCTGCACCTGGTGGCTATGTGTGCTCTTTCCTGGAGCTTCCACATGTTGTGTTGGATCTGGAGAGGCACGAGGCTGCTCCTTCCATCCATGCTGAAGTGCTGGAGCTGAGCAGCCAGCATCCCCTCTGGAGATGGGCCTCCCTCGAGCCGAGCAATGTAGGTCAGAGTTAAGTATGTAGAATGAAAAAGAGACTTCATTGTAAGGCAGTGTTTCACCTAGATAATCCAGTGAGGTCCTCACGCTGATGGGAAACCTGTTCTTACATATACACCGTTTTCTATGACTCATTAAGCAAACCTAATTAAGCATCAGCCCTGCTAAATGGCACAGCACGTGGTCCTGAAGGCTGCAGGGCAGGCACCCTGACAGTGTGCCCTCTGTGCAAATCTGTGTTGGCAGTGCCCGAGGCCACGGGTAAAGGCTGAAGGAGTGAAGGTGTGAGTGAAGCACCTGATAGGATAACAGAATGCTGCATGCATGGCAGTGTGAGCCCAGCATGGAGCTGCAGGGAATCTGGACATGAATCTGGACAGGTGAATTGAGTGATGCTGTGTGTTGAAGGCGATGCTTCCTGTGTGCTGGCTGCAGCTGCTGGAGGTGCACGATGTGCCACGTACCTGACACAGGTAAGGAATGCCTGTCAGCAGCAGTTGTAAGGCTGGCTGTGTGTTATGCAGATGCTCACACCTGAGGGCCTCTTGCTGTGGCTTTCTGCTGCATCAGGTGCTTTTCGTTTTAAATTTCTACTAAGAACAAAGCATGTCATTTCATATGCAAGGCAAAAAGAAAAAAATCCTTTTTACTGCCTTCTCTGTGTATGCTTGGCACGCTTCTTAATCTTGACAGTATCTTGAGTTTTCTATGCAGAGTGTTTACCTGCGGGTGAAATGCTTTGTTCTGACTTCTTGTTCCCTGTGTAATGATGCATGGGTTCCTTCCTGGCTTCCATGTTCCATCCCAGTGCCAGCTGACCCTGAGGGGCTGATGGAGCTGCACACGTGTGTATGTGCAGCCTGCAGAGCTGGGCGATGGTTCTGGGGAAAGGCACTGCTGTGAGCATGGGAGCATCCTGCTCGAGGCTGGGCTGACTTGCTCTGGGCTGTTCCATGTCCTCATAGGGATCTTGCCACATCTGACCAATATACAGTAGTAGTCAGTGAGCATTGGCAGCTTTGAGGGAGTACATAGCTTCTATTTGTCATTAGGAATGACAGCCACCTAAGGCTCAGCTACCTGCATGCCACGTGGCTCTTGGGTGCCCTGCAGTCTGCAGCCAGCTTTGTCCACCTTTGCAGGGCTCCCAGGGCTGCTCCCACCATGGCATTCAGGCTGAGGTTGTCCAACCTGGGCTTTGAGAGGAGGAGGGAGCAGAGCACCTCTTCAGCTGTCACAGCACAGCTTTCTAAATCATCTCGAGGGTGTTTTGCTGTACTGTTTGCAAACTCCAACTGCGTTTATGGCTCAGTGTTTCATTGGGGTTGTGATGGGCTGGAAGCTCTCTGTGATAACCGAAGTCATTAAAGCAAAGAGCACGTTATGTGTACAGCCCATAACAGCCTGGTGCTAAAGCAAAATGCTCCCTTTCTCCCTGTATGTGTTCACAGCGATATATCCTCGTAAAAAAGTCACTGTAGGAAGTAGACATGGAGTGAATTACAGTTCCAGGAAATATGGGGCTCACTGTCAAGGATAACTGACTTGGTTTAAGAAGGTAAAATGCATTTTGCAGACGGTGGCTATTGATTATTTGTTCTCCAGATTGTTTTTTATTGGGTGTGTAATGCGAAGGAATCCAGATGTACAGAGCATCCTCCTGGAGCCCTGCAGGGATGGGGATCAGTGCCTTTGGGACTGATGAGCTCCATCATTCCTCTTCAGCACTTTTCCCTCCCGGTGATGACATCCCCAAGAGGCTGTTGGCACAGGTATGGAGTTCTGTGTCTGTGCTGGGAGTCGGTGCCTTTCTGCTCTGAAAGGAGAATGCTTTTCTTATTAAAGAAAGGGGAAAAAACATAAGCAACCTCTCTGTGTGTTTGGAGGCAGATCTGCTGACTTCAGGCAAGCAGGCTTTTACTGCCTATTGCTCATGCTGTCTGGAGTGAGCTCTTGTTCCTGTAAGCATGCCCTCAGCAGAGCTGCTCACAGCTGGTGAGCTGCACCTGGGAGAGGCCCCAGAGGTGGTGATGGTGCTTAAAATGATCCCTGTCAGCTTGTCCCAAACCTCAGCCTGAGCAAAGAGCCGAGGGAGGGCAGGGAAGGATGGAGGGGGACAAATGCACTTTAAGTGCACAGGATTTGTCAGAGCTGTTGAGTCAAATGCGATGCGTTCTGATGCTTATCTGAGCATCCTTTGTAACCAGCTCTGCCCTGAGATATCTTACAGGTGCTTCCAGGTGATGTTACCTGCTGTGTGATGTCTTTGGCATTTGTAGGAGGATAATTACATGCTGAGTTCTGTTAACAGTCAACCCCTCCTCACTCTTGCCTCTAAGATCTGTTAGTGAAGTGGAATGCTTTTAGTGCAGATCCCATTGAAGGGGCAGTGGCATGCTTCTTAGGGATGTTCTTAGGGAACAGGAGATCTTCTGCTTGGCCCAGAGGTGCCCCATGAACCTGGGAGACTGTGGGCCCTGCTGGAGCCTGAGCTGGATCCAAACACCTTGGTCCTGCAATCTGCTTATTGTTGTCCATGTTCAGCATCCAGAGGACACCAGGCTGACAAGGACTATTGCAGGTATAAAAGATTTTTACTCCTAAAACCCGTATACAGGAGGGGCACTTAATTCACCTTCAGCATGTTTAGAATAGAAATTCAGTGGACTTTAATAGGGAAAAATAATAATCAGAACATCTGGCTTCTGTGTCACATCCAGCAATGGCTCTGTGACTGCAGGGCCACACAGTGGGGCTTCCTGCTTGCTCAGCCAAGAGATGGGGAAAGCAAAGATCCCCAGGTTTGTCATCTTCAATTATTATCGCATCAAATGTGGCTCCAGGAGTGTTAAGTCAGGCTCTGGAAGGCTCTCTCAGCCCTGTCCCTGTTACATCATTGCTGTCACCAATCCCTGGGGGTTTTCTCAGTTAATGAAGGGAACGGGAGGTTGTTTGCTGTTGTGTTACAGGGTGCACTAACAGTGAGTTCAGCCTGGAGATGTTTGCATCTCCCCCGGCCATTCTGCAAGTGGTGGATTCCCTTCTTGTATAAAAAGCTGTGGAACAGCACAGCAGTGGCAGAAACTCCATTGTGAAATCAGAGCTCTCAGAGCCCTCATATGGATTCCATAGGGTCCATGCCTTTTTGTAACAGCCAGTACAGCACTTCTGTATGGGAGGCATAATTGGAACTCCATCAGTGAATAGAAAATGCAGCTGAGGTTTTTTGGGGTTTTTTTTTTTTTTTTTTTGGGCAATGATGCAATTGTGCTGCATTGTCCCAGCAGCATTCACACACTCTCATCTGCAGTGTGAGCCAGGGGAGTGGCTTTGCTGTTTGTCAGGAATGAATGCTGCATGGGGTGTCTGTGCTGGCACTGAATTCAGGGTGGGCTCACTGTAGCATTCCAGACTTTTGCACGAGCTGGTTGTTAAAAGGTTTTGAATTATTTTCTTTTTTTAATGATACCTGACTTCACAGTGGATACATCTGGCTCAAAAGGCATTGTTAGATAACAGAAAGCCATTGCAGAGCGCTCGCTGTGGCATGCAGCCAGTGCTTGCTGCTGCACCCCTGAATCACCGCTTGCCTTTGCACTGTGCTGGGGGTGAGATGAGCCATGTGTGCCTGTCTGGAGGTGTGCTTCCATTGCAGGGCAGGAGAAATGGCTCAGCTCTGTGTGCTCGCTGCTCAGGAGCGTGCCGTGACACAGCATTGCTGTGCTTTCAGCTCAAGCTATTTATACATGGGTTTTCTGCGTGGTTTTGTCTGCTCCAGGAGGCTGTTTACTCCATAAAATAACCCCACTTTAGTTCAGTTAAATTGCCAGGGTTCCTCACCAATTAGATGAGAGTTTCGTGGCAGTGCGTAGCTGTGTGTCCAAACGCTACTGAATAAGAAGCAATCTGAGCATTAGTGTGTGTCTGGCATCAGTCCCCTAACGCTGCTCAAACCACTTGTGTGTGCAAAGACTGTAGGCCGAGCTATTATTATTTTGGTTTTTGAACCAGTCCGAAAATGTGAGCAGGAAAAAGAGTGGCAGTGCACATGGAGCACATTGGGGGCTGTTGGTCTGGCAGCATCGCTGCTGCTGAGGCTTGTAAAACACCAGTCTGTGAATCGTGTTAAGGCACCTTAAACTGTTCTTCCTTCCTTGCCTGTTGCAGGTCTTGCAACTGTGAACAATTAGAAGCTAATTTAAATGGCTGGTTTGTATTCACAGCAGCAGTGTATGAGCTAACCAGCTGGAAAGGAGGCACGGTGATTTTCTGTCTCTGTTTCTTGTCTCCCTCTTGTTGTTCCCTGGCACCTTTTGCAAGGCAGATATTAGCATTGGGCCAGCATTCAGCTCCCTGTGTGCATTGCTGTGTGCCCCACATGCTCCCAATGGTCAGTGGCTGATTCCTACAGCACGGATGCAGCTCAGCAACAAAGAACCTGTTGCATGGTAACCACCATCTCCATCCTGAGGCAACGATTTGAAGAATCCTTTTGCTTCAGGTAAATCAGATTGCTGCTAGGCACTCTTCTTGCACAGGGAGGAGCACAGCTTCATCAGCATGGCTGCTGGGTTCCCAGAAATTGGGCTGCTGGCTGCAGCGTGCTCCTTGGTGTTAGGAGTGCCCAGAGCAGCTTCTCCTTTGGGTTTGCTCTTCCAGCAAGCAAGTGCATCTTGCTCTTTAGACACACTTAGACTCTAACTCGAGATCCTGCCACAAAGACCAGCACAGCCTCTGTTTGCAGGCACTTTCTGAGGTTCCCACTGCTGAACCAGGCATCGGTCAGCATGTCTGCATAGGGCAGTGCTGCCTCCCCAGTGAAGGGCACTGCAGCTCCAGCCTGCTTCACATGAGGCTCTGGGGGAGGGATGAGCCCATCTGCATGAGGAGTTGGCTGCTCTATAGGCAAAATGCTGCCTGCTTCCAGCCAGCATCTCCTGTGTCTCTTAGCTGCAGTCTCGTGTGGGTTTTTTCAGGTAACAGTGCCATCTGGTGCTGGATCTCTGCTCTTTATCGAGCTTTTCTCAGATTCCTAGGCAGAGGTGGTAGCAGAAGGGCTGGCTTTCAATCAGCCATCTTACTGTGAGGCAGCAGGTGGGGGCTGTGTAGCACTGCTCCGGGGGGAGCGGGTTGGTGGGCTGCCTGGTCTGTGTGTTAGGAGAGACTGTGTGGGAAGCAGGGCTGTCAGTGCGGGGTGCCTTCCTAGCTTTATGCTAAGCACCATTATTGTGCTGTTCCTGGGTTCTCTTTCAGCTCTGTTGTACGGTTTTGTAAAGCTTTTTGTCCTGGCTGCTCTACCCCTCCTTCAGCTCCCACAGGGGGGTTTCCCATTGCCTCATCCCTTCTGTGATGACTGACAGTGCTCGGCTTCTGCAGCAGGACAGAGGTGTGGGGATGACGAGCTGAAGGCACTGCTGCCTGTTTCAAAGCGATTTTCTTTCCAAGCAAAGCAGGGGAGCAGCAGCTCTGTGCA